GTCCCCGGGTGCGAGCCTGAGGACGGGGAGCCGGAGCCGCTCCAGGGCGCAGGCAGAGCTGCTGCCTGCCCCCGCTGCCGGCCACCTTCAGCCACCCCCCCTCAGACGTCGCAGCGGGAGAAGCTTTTGCCGTTTCCCTGGTGTTAGTTTAGCGCTGGGGGTGGGCGTAGGAGGGAGGCAGATGCGCTGCCTTTCGGGGACCAAGAGAAGGTGGTGGGCGTGCTCCCGTGGTGGTGGGACATGATGGGAGGCATTGCTGTGGGCGGCCCTGGGGTCCGCTGGCAGGCGTTAAGGATGTTGGTGCAGTGTTGGCTCTGCAGAAGAGGTGGTGCCCTCGAGGTGGGTGAGAAGCGGGGTGCAGCAGAGCACCCCAGGCAGTGCAGGAGGGATGGGGTGATGGGAGCCAGTGGCGTTTGCAGCAGGGTGGGGAGGAAGGAGACTTGGAAATGAAGAACTGGCTGAAATGATGGAAGGACTGCAGGGGGTGAAGGTTTGGCCCCTGCCAAAACCCTCCTCAACCCATCTGATGTTGGGGCTCATGGGGTGCCTGGCTGTGGCAGGGCCAAGTGGCGTGTGCTGGCCATGGCTCTTATCCTGGAGCTGTCATGGAGACGGGTAAGAAAAGCTAGGCTCCTTCAGGCCTTGCGTAGGCGAAGCCCTGCAGCGTGCAGGAGCTGAAGATCGTGATGAGACTCTCAGCACCTTCCCCCGCCTTTGCTCCCCGCTTCAATCCCCTGGGGACCCCTGTGGATGGGGGGGTGAGGAGGAGCCTGCGCGTTGGGGCTCTGAGTGGGATGTGCTGAGCCTGTACATCACGCTGCTGCTCCCAGCTCCGGCAGCCTTTGCACACGCGCCCTTGCAGCCTCTGCGGGGAGCTGGCCCCCGGGGCCGCAGCCACGCTGTGAAGAGTTGCTCCCCTGGGTCAGTGCCAGTGGAAGATCACACTGGAAACCTCTTGCAGTGCCAGCAGTGCTTTCCAACCTGGGGGCTCACGGGCTCCTGGGAAGGGACATCCTGGCAGTCAAATGTGCTGAAGTGTGTCCCCTTAACGCTTCAGTGCCTCATCACTGGGGAGCCTGGGACTCCCATCCCACCTGCCTCCACCTTGTGTGATTGCCAGCTGCATCCTGCCAGCTTGCTGGTCCTGTCCGATGCCAAGGGCTTGTTGTTTCACTGATGGAGTAGAGGCTCGTGGTGGCAGTGTTCTGCCATGCTTATTGCGTGGAGCGTGCTGCCTCTGGTGGGCTGGGAGTGGTTCATGGCCTCAGCACTGGGGAGAAGATGCACGTGGCATCCATTGGTGCAGCCAGCCTGGCTGCCACTGCCAAGTCTGCCAGCATCGTCCCTGCTGGAGAGGGAACAGCGATGGGAAACACCGCTTGCCAACATCCCCTGAAACAGTGACTCTACGTTCCCATGGTGGCTTGGCCCCAAGGGGCCACTGGCGGAGGTGGCCAGTGGTGATGTGTTCTCGTTGGAGCTGGGCCACTGGCCAGCCAGAACTTGGCCTTGCAGTGGGTGAGGCTCTCTAGGCCCTGCTGGGACCCTGACTCCTTCCCACCCCAGACCAAAGCTCTTGTCCCCAGGCCTGCGGCCCTTCCCTGGAGGGGGATGCACATCCCTGGCAAGAGAGGCTGGTGGCTGGGGAGCAGATCCCAAGCCCTGCACTGGGAAGCCTGCTTCGGGCATCATTGCTCAGGTGATGCTTCTTGAATAGCTGGGTTTGGGGGGGTGGCTCAAAGCCCCTGCAGAGGAGCCAGGCGACAACCAGGGCCTTGCATCTCCTGTCGCAATTGGTCCCAGGCTTCAAGCAGGCTGGGTGGCTTCCCAGAGCATCCTGAAACTCCCACGGCTGTGAAACAGGTGCTGAAATGCTGCTTTGCTGCCTATGCCGGTTGTCAGTCCTAATAAATTGGTTTTGGAGCAGAAGGGTTCCTTCCACCTCAGCTGCCCTGCAAGGGGGCATGGCAGGACTGAACCCTCCCAGCACCGCAGCACGCTGCCACAGCTCATTGCACTGGGCAGCTCTGGGCTGATGTTTGTTGATGCTGGTCTGACCTGTTGCTGGTTGGGGAGGACACTTGTCCAGCAGTGATTTGCCGTGATGTTTTACGTGCAGTTTGCAAAGCCAAATGTCAGCACAGGCGCCTGCAGGAGCTCCCATCTGGGAAGGAGGCAGGGAGAGGGGCTCAGCCTGTTTCCACAGGCACTGGAGGTAAAGGCTGTTTCTGGTTGGGAAGGTGTGTATAATATTCTCCAAGTGCATCTGGGTTTTCCAGGGACCACACCTTGCTCGGCAAGCCAGGCGCTGGGGTTTGGACGTGCTGCTGAATAATGTGTTATGGCATCACAGGTGTGTGTTTTTCTCTGGGGCTGAAGGGCTTTTTGCCCCCCTTTTTGTTTTTCAGGACACACAAGAGAAGGAAACTGTCACCCCTGAGAGAGCAGAAGAGGCGAAACTGAAGGCCAAATACCCCAACCTAGGCCAGAAGCCCGGAGGCTCTGACTTCCTCATGAAGAGACTGCAGAAAGGGGTATTTATTTCTCAGCCATGGCTCGTCCATGCCCTCTCCTCCCTCAATGGCACAGGCAGCCAAGCTTCGACCAGGCCAGAGGAACTGCACCAAAATTCCCCAGGTCAAACAGTCTGTTGAACCCATGAGCCAGGTCCCCTTCAGTGTTTGCACTGGACATGGTACCCAGCTGCTCTGGTCAAGCAAGAAGGGTTTGTGCCTGCTCAGAACCCAAAAGCTGCTGCCTCTTTCTACTCTGTGTATCTCTCCCAGCAATGGATCCTACTCTGGCCCAAAACCTGGTGTCTGGAGGCCAAATAAGTGCATAAATCCCCCCTGCCTGCTGCTGTGCTCCTTGGGGCTCAGTGGGCCACTGAGATGATAGGATGGTTTCAGTTGGAAAAGCCCTTTACGATTGTCAAGTTCAACCATTAACCCAACACTGCTAAATCCATCGCTAAGCCATGTTCCTAAGCACCTTGTCTGCCCGGCTTTTGAATCCCCCCAGGTATGGGGACTCGACCCCTTCCCTGGGCAGCCCCTTCCAGCCCCTGACAGCCCCAAGGGGAAGGAATTGTTCCCCATGCCCAACCTCACCCTGCCCTGGCACAACTTGAGGCCGCTGCCCCTCGTCCCATCGCCCCTTCCCTGGGAGCAGAGCCCGACCCCCCCGGCTCCCCCCTCCTCTCAGGCAGTTGTAGGCAGCGATGAGGGCTCCCCTCAGCCTCCTCTGCTCCAGGCTGAACCCCCCCAGCAACCCCAGCCGCTCCCCAGCAGCCTGGGGCTCCAGACCCCTCCCCAGCTCCGCTGCCCTTCTCTGGGCACGCATGCTGCAGGCCTGAGTTTTTCTCGCTGGGCTGCACTTTGCCTGGGTTCCAGGCTGGTGCAAAGGGCACTGAGAACATCAGTGAGTCAGCTGTCTGCATCCTCATTGCTGGAACCTGTGTAAAAAGCCAACCTTCTGACTGTGCTCCTTGGAAATGTAATGAAATCCTTCTCCGAGAGCCATCTGTAGCCTGCTTGGGTTGTCACTGCTGGCTTTCCTCCTTGCAGAGGCTGGTGCAGAAAACATAAATCCCTCCTGAGCTGCTGGCAGGCAGGGGCCGGGTGCCTTCCCCAGCCCT